AAAAAAAAAAAAATAGGGGGGCCCACTCAAGGGGGAAAAACATAGTTTGTAATTTCTGATTTAGCAGATCTGTGAGCACTGGAAAAGTTGGGGAGGTTAACACTGCTCACATGGGACTGTATTTCAGTAGATATATTACCTTAAAGAGACCCAATACTAGGTCTCACTTTTTATTTAAATTAATGAGACTTTGACAGTCCTATTTTGTTTAGACAGTTACCTTTTAAACAAATTACTTAATTTTATTTGTTATTTTTTAATTTGACCAAAGAGATAAAGAGAAAGAGAAAGTGAGAAAGCAAGCCACCAGGTCCGGGACTTGAACCACTGTCAGCCATGTGGGAGTCCAGCACCTTAACCACTATACCACCTGCCAGGCCAAAACAGTTACTTTTTTAAAAACCTGAATGCATCTTTGAAAATTGATTTACTAAAACTGATTTCTAACACCAAGCTGAGATCATTTTCATTAGAAAAACAGGCCTAGTCATAGTGGTGTGGACTGCTCAGACAGTACTCTCTGCAGCCTGAAACCATGTGTGAGACTAGGATTCAGTTATTGGTTCAGCCTAATGCCTGGGCATCAGTCTTTGGATAGTCCTATCATAGTGAGACCCTGTCTTTAAGAAAATGAGAGAAAAGTAGAGAAATGATTTTTTTTAATTATTTAATTTTATTTATTCATTTATTTATTTTAATTTGGTCAGAGACAGAAAGGGAAAGTGAGAAAGCAAACCACCAGGTCCGGGACTCAAACCATGGTTGGCCATGTGGGAATCCAGCACCCTTAGCCACCATGCCACCTTATGGCCCTGAGAAGTAATTTTTGGAAAAGAGAAGTTTTGTTGGACATAAACTAAACTTTAGGGAAAGGATGTAGGGTAATCTGATGGTACCAAGTAATGACGTTAAGGTGTAGTAACATGTTAAGAGGGATTTACAAATGGAGATATGAAAATCTCAGAATTAAACTTGGCCTAAAATTTTTCCATAAGGGGACCAGCAGTTGGTGTAGTGGCTATATCACTAGACTCCCATATAGTCAACCGCGGTGCAAGCCTCAGACCCAGTGGCATAAATTCACACCGGGCTTGTGTGCATGTGTGCCCAAATTCCTAAGAGGAGACAGGATTGTGGCGTGGTCATCCTCCCAGGGGGGTGATTTCTCGCTTTCTGACACTATCTGTCTCTCTTTTTGTCAAGGGCACATACACTGTAGCCAAAAACCTCTACAAAGGGGACCAGCAGTTAGCGTAATGGCTATGTTGCTGGACTCCCACGAAGTCCACCTCAGTTTGCGTCCCAGACCCGGTGGCTTAAAACTCACGCCGGATGCGTGTGTGTGCATGCCCAAGATCCCGAGAGGAGAATGGAGGAGAAGGGATTGCGGCATGGCCATCCCCCCTGCGGGGTGATTTCTCACTTTCTGTCTCTGCCTGGCGAGCACACATGCCCTATAGCAAAAACCTCAAAAAATAAAAAATAAATAAAACAAAAAAATTGTTTTTCCATAACATCAGAATTGGGCCCAACAAAGATAAAAATTCTTTTTCTTCATTCTTGCTCTGCATTAGAAACAGCCTATCTTGGAACCAGCAGGTGTCATAATGGTTATGTCACTGCACTCCCACATAGTTAACCTCAGTTCAAGTCCCAGACCCAGCAGTTTAAAGTCAAGCCAGGCACGTGTGCATGCTTGCCCAAGATCCCAAGGGAAGAACAGAAGAGACGGGATTGCAACCTGGCCATCCCCCTGGGGATAATTTCTTGCTCTCTGTCTCTCTGTCTGACTCTGCCTCTCCAGTGAGCACACACACCCCCAATAGTAAAAAATCTCTCTTAAAAAAGAAAGAGTGAGCTTGCCTGTCTCTAAGAATTCTGACTGTCCTGACTTCAGTGTCTTGCCAGAAACCTAAACCCCATTTAAATTACTAGAAAGTGAAAAACAGTTTTCCTTAAAAATAAAGACCTATTGGAACATGACCTATTCATAAATTGAGGACTGCCTATACTATTAATTTGTTTTTATTAAAAAGCAAGTTACCAGGTAAGAGCTTGGACAGGCAAGAAAGGCAGTATTACTGTTAAGTGATCACAGTAGGAATGTTAGCAGTTTTGCATGGGTCATTTCTCACCTTGCTGGTGTCAGGTTGTTTTTGGTTTTGTTTTTAATTTGCTGGAGGGCTCTTGAGCTCACAGTTAAGGGAGACAAGAGACAAAAGAAATGTGAAAAAGCACCCCAGATAGAGGATGGGCATGCTGCAGTCACTTCTCCAGTTCTCTTCCTGGGGTTTCGGGCATGCACACACACCCAGCATGTTTTTCAGGTGACTTGGACCGAAACTCAGCCACACAGTCAGCCATGTAGGGCCCAGCAGCCTTCACCATACCACTGGCTGGCCCTTTCTTTCTTTGTAGATTTTTCTGTTGGGCACATGTGCCTGCTAGGGGAAGAGAGAGAGAGAGAATGGGAAATCACTCCCCACAGGGCGTAGCCATGCCATAATCCTTTCTCCATTCTCTCAGGATTTAGGGCTCACACGCACACACACCTGGCTTGTTTTTCAAGCCACTGAGCCCAGAATTCAAACCACAGAGTGGACCATGTGGGATCCAGGACCTTAACCACCATTCCACATAAATTTTTATTTTAACCGAAATGATTGCTTGATTTTATATTATTTCAGTGTTTTTTTTTTTTTTTAATTATTTTTAGAATTTTTTTTTTTTTTTAAAGTTGACCAGAGGGAGACAGGGAAAATGAGAAAGCAAACCACCAGGTCTGAGTCTTGAACCACAATGGGCCATGTGGTAATCCAGCACCTTAAGCACCATACCACCTGCCAGCTCCTTATTTCAGTTTTAATGTAAGAACTTAAATAACATCAGCTTTTTTTAAGAATGATTTGTTAAATTTTATTTATTATTGTTTTTTAATTAAACCAGAAAGACAAAAAGAAAGAGTGAAAAGGAAAGTGAGAAAGCAAGCCACCAGGTCCAGGACGTGAAGTGCAATCAGCCATGTCAGAGTCTGACTCCTTAACCACTATGCCACCTGCTGGTCTCTCAAAATTTAGTTTTTATAAACATATAAAACATATTACAGATAATATAAAATATTTTGCTTAGTATGTTATATTACAGATAATATATCAGATACTATCAGATTTATATCCTCTTCAAGGATTCTTCATAACAAAGGTACTCCTTGTGGAATACTAAGTTTATGTCAAAGTCCTAATTATTGTGTTGCTACTTCTTAAATATTTTACTTTGGAAACATGCGAGAAATACATGATATTGTTTCTATGGACATTGATGTAAAAGTGAATACTTAATCATAACAGAAACTCTATAATTATCCTCATCAAATTAGTGGGCACAGTTGCCTTGAGCAATTAATCGCAAGCATTTATTGTACAGAGTTCACTGTACAGTATTGTTCGGGACCATTCCTTAACTGCCAAAAATAACCATTTTAAAATGAAAATTAATTGAATGCTCCTACTCCAAGGGCTTGATTACAAGAGTTAATGAAGAAATGAAGAAGTCTTATTAACTATTAAGCTGGTGGTATGTGGAGATTAAAGGCAATCCGGATATTCCAGGAAGGTTTAGTAACACCCTGTCTCTCTCTCTCTTTCATGCAGTGACCACATTGCAGCTGAAGGAGGAGTTGCTCGATGGAGAGGATTATAATTTCCTCCAAGGAGCTTCTGATCAGGAAAGCAATGGCTCTGCCAACTTCTACATCAAACAAGAGCCATGAGGTGGCTCAGAAACTGAGGGCGGGAGGGGACGAATTTTACACAGGACTGATTTATAATCCATCCAGCTGTACAGCAGGGCTATCGTCCTGGGACCTTTTGCTAAACATAGAAAATTTCAGTTCCAGATTTTTCAGGTGGGTGGGGAAACTATTTTAGTCGGGGGCAGGGGGGAAATTTTTCAATTTATAAAGATGGACAATTTTTGTGTTGTATTTGAAGCTTTTGAAAGAATTTTGTAATATTTTCCAAGTTTGGATTTATGTGCATTGTTAACAAGAACTGAAATTCTAACTTTTTTGGTAAGATTAAAGTTTAGGTAGCAGGATTGAAGGAAATGATTTAAGAAGGATATAGTCGTAAATGCAAATGAACTGTCATTACAAATGAACCTTTTTGGTACCTGTTGGGAGATTTTGGGATTCTCGAAGTTAGGCCAGTCACATCTCCAGCTTCCTTTGCTCCGGAAATTATGCAACTGAGCCCTCACGGAGGGTTCTTCACCGTGTCGCTTACGGAGGGGTCATTCGTTCTGCTTGTTGGCATTTTATTGCAGCCCATTTTAAATGTTTGTACAGAGAAGTTTTTCATTCTGTGAAAAATTATTTGGAGTTCTGTATGAAACTGGAAGAACTCTGGATACTTTTATATGTTCTCTTTTAATTAAAAAATGGTTAAAATTATCCTAACACTAAAGTGTTAAACTGGAATGGTTGACAAGATTTATAGAATCTCGGTCTACATGTTGAGGAGTTGGGGAAAATGCAATATTGTCCTAAGTTCATTATCTTTTTCTCACTAAAAAATACCCCTATGGAAGGGATTCTGCTCATTTCTCTGCCATTTCCCTCCATCTGTGAGATAACAACTTGGTATAACCACACCTCAAAACAGATGTTCTGTATTACCAGGAAAATCTGACTAAAAAATTGTTCAAAGCCAAAGTAAGTTTTAATTTCAAAGTCATTCCAGCTCTGCTTTTAACTATCCTGAATTGGCTAGAAAATTAATTTGAAAGAGGACTTAAATTTTCTTAAAATTCCGTATATTGTATGAATTGTCTTTCATTGTATTCAGAATTTGTTTTAACAATAGTAACTGATTTGGACCACTTTGAACATTCCCTATTTTAAAATTCACATGCCTTCCTTAAAAAAAAAAAAAAAAAAAAAAAAGGATACAAGGGTAAATTGGTGAAAGGTTTGCTCTCCGCTTTTTCTAACTTTCTACTGAGTTGTGACTGAATGAGAGAGCTCTAGCGTTTACCAGTGAGGTTCATAAACTAAACTCTCAGGAATTAATTGCATCTGATGCGTGTGTGTGCATGCCCAAGATCCCGAGAGGAGAATGGAGGAGAAGGGATTGCGGCATGGCCATCCCCCCTGCGGGGTGATTTCTCACTTTCTGTCTCTGCCTGGCGAGCACACATGCCCTATAGCAAAAACCTCAAAAAATAAAAAATAAATAAAACAAAAAAATTGTTTTTCCATAACATCAGAATTGGGCCCAACAAAGATAAAAATTCTTTTTCTTCATTCTTGCTCTGCATTAGAAACAGCCTATCTTGGAACCAGCAGGTGTCATAATGGTTATGTCACTGCACTCCCACATAGTTAACCTCAGTTCAAGTCCCAGACCCAGCAGTTTAAAGTCAAGCCAGGCACGTGTGCATGCTTGCCCAAGATCCCAAGGGAAGAACAGAAGAGACGGGATTGCAACCTGGCCATCCCCCTGGGGATAATTTCTTGCTCTCTGTCTCTCTGTCTGACTCTGCCTCTCCAGTGAGCACACACACCCCCAATAGTAAAAAATCTCTCTTAAAAAAGAAAGAGTGAGCTTGCCTGTCTCTAAGAATTCTGACTGTCCTGACTTCAGTGTCTTGCCAGAAACCTAAACCCCATTTAAATTACTAGAAAGTGAAAAACAGTTTTCCTTAAAAATAAAGACCTATTGGAACATGACCTATTCATAAATTGAGGACTGCCTATACTATTAATTTGTTTTTATTAAAAAGCAAGTTACCAGGTAAGAGCTTGGACAGGCAAGAAAGGCAGTATTACTGTTAAGTGATCACAGTAGGAATGTTAGCAGTTTTGCATGGGTCATTTCTCACCTTGCTGGTGTCAGGTTGTTTTTGGTTTTGTTTTTAATTTGCTGGAGGGCTCTTGAGCTCACAGTTAAGGGAGACAAGAGACAAAAGAAATGTGAAAAAGCACCCCAGATAGAGGATGGGCATGCTGCAGTCACTTCTCCAGTTCTCTTCCTGGGGTTTCGGGCATGCACACCCACCCAGCACCCAGCATGTTTTTCAGGTGACTTGGACCGAAACTCAGCCACACAGTCAGCCATGTAGGGCCCAGCAGCCTTCACCATACCACTGGCTGGCCCTTTCTTTCTTTGTAGATTTTTCTGTTGGGCACATGTGCCTGCTAGGGGAAGAGAGAGAGAGAGAATGGGAAATCACTCCCCACAGGGCGTAGCCATGCCATAATCCTTTCTCCATTCTCTCAGGATTTAGGGCTCACACACACACACACCTGGCTTGTTTTTCAAGCCACTGAGCCCAGAATTCAAACCACAGAGTGGACCATGTGGGATCCAGGACCTTAACCACCATTCCACATAAATTTTTATTTTAACCGAAATGATTGCTTGATTTTATATTATTTCAGTGTTTTTTTTTTTTTTTTAATAATTTTTAGAATTTTTTTTTTTTTTTTTTAAAGTTGACCAGAGGGAGACAGGGAAAATGAGAAAGCAAACCACCAGGTCTGAGTCTTGAACCACAATGGGCCATGTGGTAATCCAGCACCTTAAGCACCATACCACCTGCCAGCTCCTTATTTCAGTTTTAATGTAAGAACTTAAATAACATCAGCTTTTTTTAAGAATGATTTGTTAAATTTTATTTATTATTGTTTTTTAATTAAACCAGAAAGACAAAAAGAAAGAGTGAAAAGGAAAGTGAGAAAGCAAGCCACCAGGTCCAGGACGTGAAGTGCAATCAGCCATGTCAGAGTCTGACTCCTTAACCACTATGCCACCTGCTGGTCTCTCAAAATTTAGTTTTTATAAACATATAAAACATATTACAGATAATATAAAATATTTTGCTTAGTATGTTATATTACAGATAATATATCAGATACTATCAGATTTATATCCTCTTCAAGGATTCTTCATAACAAAGGTACTCCTTGTGGAATACTAAGTTTATGTCAAAGTCCTAATTATTGTGTTGCTACTTCTTAAATATTTTACTTTGGAAACATGCGAGAAATACATGATATTGTTTCTATGGACATTGATGTAAAAGTGAATACTTAATCATAACAGAAACTCTATAATTATCCTCATCAAATTAGTGGGCACAGTTGCCTTGAGCAATTAATCGCAAGCATTTATTGTACAGAGTTCACTGTACAGTATTGTTCGGGACCATTCCTTAACTGCCAAAAATAACCATTTTAAAATGAAAATTAATTGAATGCTCCTACTCCAAGGGCTTGATTACAAGAGTTAATGAAGAAATGAAGAAGTCTTATTAACTATTAAGCTGGTGGTATGTGGAGATTAAAGGCAATCCGGATATTCCAGGAAGGTTTAGTAACACCCTGTCTCTCTCTCTCTTTCATGCAGTGACCACATTGCAGCTGAAGGAGGAGTTGCTCGATGGAGAGGATTATAATTTCCTCCAAGGAGCTTCTGATCAGGAAAGCAATGGCTCTGCCAACTTCTACATCAAACAAGAGCCATGAGGTGGCTCAGAAACTGAGGGCGGGAGGGGACGAATTTTACACAGGACTGATTTATAATCCATCCAGCTGTACAGCAGGGCTATCGTCCTGGGACCTTTTGCTAAACATAGAAAATTTCAGTTCCAGATTTTTCAGGTGGGTGGGGAAACTATTTTAGTCGGGGGCAGGGGGGAAATTTTTCAATTTATAAAGATGGACAATTTTTGTGTTGTATTTGAAGCTTTTGAAAGAATTTTGTAATATTTTCCAAGTTTGGATTTATGTGCATTGTTAACAAGAACTGAAATTCTAACTTTTTTGGTAAGATTAAAGTTTAGGTAGCAGGATTGAAGGAAATGATTTAAGAAGGATATAGTCGTAAATGCAAATGAACTGTCATTACAAATGAACCTTTTTGGTACCTGTTGGGAGATTTTGGGATTCTCGAAGTTAGGCCAGTCACATCTCCAGCTTCCTTTGCTCCGGAAATTATGCAACTGAGCCCTCACGGAGGGTTCTTCACCGTGTCGCTTACGGAGGGGTCATTCGTTCTGCTTGTTGGCATTTTATTGCAGCCCATTTTAAATGTTTGTACAGAGAAGTTTTTCATTCTGTGAAAAATTATTTGGAGTTCTGTATGAAACTGGAAGAACTCTGGATACTTTTATATGTTCTCTTTTAATTAAAAAATGGTTAAAATTATCCTAACACTAAAGTGTTAAACTGGAATGGTTGACAAGATTTATAGAATCTCGGTCTACATGTTGAGGAGTTGGGGAAAATGCAATATTGTCCTAAGTTCATTATCTTTTTCTCACTAAAAAATACCCCTATGGAAGGGATTCTGCTCATTTCTCTGCCATTTCCCTCCATCTGTGAGATAACAACTTGGTATAACCACACCTCAAAACAGATGTTCTGTATTACCAGGAAAATCTGACTAAAAAATTGTTCAAAGCCAAAGTAAGTTTTAATTTCAAAGTCATTCCAGCTCTGCTTTTAACTATCCTGAATTGGCTAGAAAATTAATTTGAAAGAGGACTTAAATTTTCTTAAAATTCCGTATATTGTATGAATTGTCTTTCATTGTATTCAGAATTTGTTTTAACAATAGTAACTGATTTGGACCACTTTGAACATTCCCTATTTTAAAATTCACATGCCTTCCTTAAAAAAAAAAAAAAAAAAAAAAAAAAGGATACAAGGGTAAATTGGTGAAAGGTTTGCTCTCCGCTTTTTCTAACTTTCTACTGAGTTGTGACTGAATGAGAGAGCTCTAGCGTTTACCAGTGAGGTTCATAAACTAAACTCTCAGGAATTAATTGCATCTGTTCTAGAAGTGCTTCTGGGTCTTAGCCTGACCTCTTCAGAGTGGTAATATTGACCATCTCCTCTGGAATATAGGTAGGGCTAATTAGAAATTAATCAAAATGATTAACCTCTACAGTCCTTCAGCCTATGGAATGCTTTAAAAAAAAGTTAATGGAAAGCCCCAGGAGACCATTTTAGGTAAGATTTTTGTTTGAATTTTAAAATGCATAGATCGTTAAAAACCAGCAATTTATTTTCTAAAATATTGCTCTACTTTTGGGAATAATAGCATTGGTAATACGCACAGGTTTACCTCATTCTATGCAAGAGGGGTTAATAACATAAGGTTTTGTAGTAGCTACTGGAAGTAAAATTTGTTACTTTATAGTGTAAGAATGTATGGAATTGCATGTCACCATTTCTTAGTACTCTTTGGGGGCATAAATGCAGACCACGTCAACAGAAGTTGATTCTCATGTGTCAAATATATGTGAATTCAGCTGTTCAGTTACTGGATATTTATCTTTAACAACATTGCTGAGAGGGACCTACTGTAAATGTGACATCCTCACACTTCCCAGATCTTTAACTTTGAAGAATCTTCCCGTCAACTTAAGCCTAGAAGATTTCCAAAGCAAGAGTTACAGCAGTCTATACCCTCAGGCTCAGTGAACTAAACCCAGCAGTCTGAGTCCACACTACGGGCATAAGAAGCCTGTCATATGCTGTAGTCTACCAGTACCTTGGGTTTCGGGGCTCTTTGGGGAACTGAATAAAAATCCAGGAAGGGTTTAATTTGAAGCCAGTCAGTCCTGGTCATTAGTTCTGTGAAATGCTCATGATAGCCAGGTTTTATAAGCTTCCAGTTGTATAGCAAAACCAGGCTCTGAGTGTTTTGGGATCTCCCATCTATTTCATGCAGTGTTTCTAGTCTTGATGCCCTTATCTACAATTAAAGGTTGGTAAGGACTGAACAGTCCAAACACAACCTGAAGCCCTCTCCATTGTTCACACTCTTCAT